AAAAAAAAAAAAAAAAAGAACTTTCAAAAACAGCATTTTGTTGGGAGTGTAATAAAGGTAATATTTCTTTAAAACACATGTTTTTATGATGTCCTATACTAATCAAGTTTGGGGAAAAGCAGTAGATTATATAATATGGTGTTCCGACAGAAGTTGAATTCTCAAAGGATAATCTTCTCTTTAATACAAACCAGCTCATGGAATTTGACTACCAGGCAATGTAATTGCAGGATTGGTAAAACAAATTTATGGCCCCTTTCACTCAATGGATTGAAGACTTGATTGCATATGACATCTATGAGTGAATTGCCTATAGATGTAGACCTTGTATGGTCAACTATAATGAAATGTGGGACACATTTACACAGAATATAGTAGGTTAAAAAAGATAGCCATATAAATGCACCAGAAATACATACATCTTCACTAATGTTTGCATTAGACAAGATTGTAATTGTTTACTGTTATAATGATATATTTTATGTGTTTTGGGAATTTTTTATCATTTTAAGAGCATTTTTATGTGTTCTTTTTTTATTCTCTTTGCCAATGTATTATTACTTTCACTATTTTTGTATTTTGATCATTTTTATTATTTGTCTAATGGAAGTGAAATAGTTTGGTAAATGAGTGAAAGCATACTGTACATGAATGATAATGAGAAATCAAGCCTAATCTAACTCCAGTGGGGCGAAATTACCATTGGCAGTATTTTTCACATACTAAAATAAACAGTGTAACGTCTATTTTGGTTTTCAACCAGAGTTGGAGGTCTGCTCCTTCTTTCTTAGAATGTCTGAACAGGGATTTGGAAGGCAATAAACATATAGTAAAGATGACTTTCTATTCACGTTGATAGACATCTTCCTTCTCCAACGTGGAACTTTCTAGACGTGACTTTAATCATTTTGGGACATTAGGTTGGGAAGTTGAAATGCATGAATTGTGAAACGAGTCTGGTGATGTAATATCAAAACTGAAAAGTTGCTTATGAGTTAGTCCTGATTTACACAGGGTTACGAATTTGGGCTGCAGAAATTAGTTGGCAGCAAAGGAATCCGGAAGGCTATAGCTTCTTGCTGCCATCTTGTGATTATCTGGATTTTTACAGCCCAGACTTTGTAGTCCTAAGTATAAAGAAATTTATTTTAATTACATGCAAAGAATGAGCAACTCTTGTGTATGTTTAAGTTGTTTAAATTCAGTATTTACGATGGTTAATGCAACTGCTTCCTTCTGATGTGAACATCAATGACTCTGAAAATGTAGTTTCATGTCTATGTAAAAGACATGTCTCTTTTACATGCATTCCTAAATTAGTAATTTTAAAAATTATGTGTATGGTTAAATACAAGCAATTAAAGTAATATAATTTCATATGCATAATTTAAGATTCTTCACAGTATATTGAGAAATACTCAAGTCTTTTCTTGACTGCATTAGGTGTTATAATTTAAAAGCATATAGCTGAATCACAGAATTAATCACTGTTTATAACTGGACAAATTAGCCAGTACTGGCTGTGAAATTTCTTTCTGAAATGAAGCAAAACTTATTAATGCACGTTTTGACATAGGGAAAAGTATTAATATTAGATAGAGTTTCAAAAGGACACACTAGCAGTTTATTTATTAAATTGATATGCTATTCAATTCACTGTTGAAGTGATTCTGGGCAACTTATAAAATAATAAAAAAACAACATAAAAAAATTAATAAAGATAGGATAGAAATTAAAAACCAAGAAAAAGGGTAGCATGGAGGTAGGATCTTATTTCTACCCTGTTAGCCATCCCTGGCATAGAGCAACTATTTTAGTTGCAAAACTTTCATTTCCTTTGCATAAATCAAATTTTGAAATTTTGTAAAATAATGAGCACCGAACAGAATAGAATTAAAAACCCTCCTATGCTGATTTATCCTCTGGGTTCTAAATTCCCAAGAACCTCTCTATGTTATCACTTTACATGTGAGAATTTGTGTAACAACGTTCTTCTTATATTTTTTTAATTAAGCAAATTAATTAAAATCAATACATTACATAAAAGAAAGTTAGGTTAATTCAATAACTAGACCTAACTTGGCTTTTAAAACTAGCTACGGGAACTAACCCCCAGAGGGCTATCCATTTTTTACTGGATAGTAAAACACCCATGGGAGTTAGAAAATGTTCTCTGGTAGTTCATAGCAACTTCTAGGGGCAAAGAAGATACCATTGCTGCTTTGTATTAATTGCTTATTGACCGACCACTCTTTTTTTAAAAAAATGAATATGTGTAATATTTTGCTGTGTATAACGAAAAGGCTCGGAGAAGCTTCCCTTTATTACTCAGTGCTTTTGGCAACTTTAATATATGGGACTTCAACTCCCAGAATTCCCCTGCCAATATGGGTTACCACAGAGCCATGGTGGCACAGTGGTTAGAATGCAGTACTGCAAGCTAATTCTGCTGACTGTTGATTGCCAGCAGTTTGAATCTGACCCGCTTAAGGTTGACTCAGCCTTCCATCCTTTCGAGGTCGGTAAAATGAGGACCCAGATTGTTGGGGGCAATATGCTGACTCTGTAACCTGCTTAGAGAGGGCTGTAAAGCACCATGCTATTGCTGCCCATGCTAGTAAAAGTTACCAATGTTAAAGCACCTGGAAGCAATGGATGGAAATTAATCAAAAAGAGAAGCAATCTAGAACTAAGGAGAAATTTCCTGACAACTAGAACAATTAATCAGTGGAACTACCTGCGTCCAGAAGTTGTGAATGCTCCAACACTGGACGTTTTTACAAAGAGACTGGACAACCATTTGTCTGAAACGGTATAGGATTTCCTGCCTGAGCAGGGGGTTGGACTAGATCAGGGCTTTTCAACCTTTTCACCCATTGTACACTTTTAGGATATGGCAACATCCGAGTACCACCAGTCACCTAGCAAGGTGTCAAAAACCTGATGACCAAAAAAAAAAAAAAGGGGGGGGAAAGTGATAAAGTACAGGTAGTCCTCGACTTACAACAGTTCGCTTAGTAACTGTTCGAAGTTACAATAGCACTGAAAAAAGTGCCCTCCAAGCCACAGCCGAGCAAGACACCTGGCGGCGCTCTTCCTCCTGTATGAGGTTTTCATTGTTGTGAGCATTTCTGTTGAGGATTGGCAGCGGGGTTAGGGTGGGGGGTGTTTGGTTTTTATTCCCCCCATCTGCTGGGTGGTTGCAGCAGGTTTTGGTCACTTCACATAACCCTGGGACACTGTGACTGTCATAAATATGAATCAGTTGCCAAGCATCTCAATGTAAATCACAAGACCCTGGAGATGCTGCAACATTCCAGCTGATTGGCGCTTCTTCTGGGCTCAGCAGAAGCACCAGGATCAGTGCCGAGCTCCAGCTGGAGCCTGGCGCTGATCCTGGTGCTTCCACTGAGTCCTGATAGCCCCAAAGAAGCACTGATCCTGGCGCTTCCGCTGAGCCCTGACAGCCCTGCAGCTCCAGCCATCTCTCGCTCAGGCTTGTGCAGTGCTGCCATCGGTTCAGCTCATTCCCCTCCCCTGCTACCACTTTTCTAGGATGGTCGCTTACCACCTGCCAGATGCCAATGTACCACAGGTGGTACCCGTACCACTGGTTGAAAAGCCCTGGAGTAGATGACCTCCAAGGTTCCTTCCAACATTGTTTTTGTTGTTATTGTTGTTATTTTACCCACTACTACCCAGTTGGTAATAAAGGCTTTTATTATCTTATTTGTCTTTCACAGGGTGAAGTGAAGGAATAGTTTCCCAGTTGAACTACTATGAGGTCAGAAGCCTTGCTGCTATATTTCACACTGCTACACTTTGCTGGGGCTGATTTCCCAGAAGATCCTGAGCCAATCAGTATTTCGCATGGCAACTGTAAGTATAAAAGGCAGGAAAATGGCAGGAATATTTTTTTCTCCATCCCTTCCCAATATCAAATCATAGCTTGTTGACAAGCAAGATTAAGAACTGCAAGCATTAGCAGGGCAAAAACATCCTTTCCTCTGCGCCCTGTCATGGCATCACATTCCCTATCACTATTTTTTGATATAAAACCATTCACAAAAACCACTGTGTTCTGGGCCAGTTATATGAGTGTAGAAGAACTTTTAGTTATCATTTATGTCTATAAATCTTGTTCTTCTCCAGACTCAAGTGATTCTTGGATAAGATAAGATAACCATTATTGTCATTTTTTTACTGTGGGCACAACGTCACACATCAAAAATGAAATTTAGTTGCCCGCTCTCAAAGTGAAACATACATGACACACACCTAAACATACTATATATAACATATGTATAGACCCATACATATACATAACAAATAAATATTAAATACTGTCCATCTTGAATATATAACGGAAGGAGGAAGCTTGAGACTTCACAAGGTTAATGCTGTATGGAATGAAACCATGGCTGAATCTGGATGTTTTGCTATGGATACCATGAAACCTCCTCCCAGAAGGTAACAAGGAAAACAGATCATGAAGAGGATGTGTAGTGTCCCAGATAATCTTACGGACCCTGCTCAAGCAATGCTTATATGCTATGTCCTGGATGGGAGGGAGGGAACTGCCAATGATCTTTTTGGCCATCCAAGATGCTCTCGATTGTCCCCCTGTAGAAAGTGGTAAGGATATGAGAAGCATGTTAAACTTTCCAGTCACATCTTTTTCTTGAAAAATATTAGGCAACATTTCTTTTTTAACCAAAATGAGGCGGCCAAAACAAAAGCATTCCATTCCCTGAAACAAGAGAAATTAAGCTTTGCCATTGATCCAAACTAGCACAATTCTGAACATAATGTTAAGAATTGAAAGATTATTCATTTAACTAACTTGCTCTCTAGCTGTTTGTTTATTCACACATATATAGCAATAAACGTACCACTTCTTTAACTTTGCAATTCTATTGTAAACAGAACTAAAGAAAACAAAATAGTTTCCATTTGAGCCAATGTAAAAGCGGCAGCTTGCCTGGAAGAAGAAGAAGAAGATTAGTATCCCCCTCTGTTCCCCATTGGGATGCAAATGCATCAAAGAGAGAGCATTTGCAATGTTTAGCTTTAAAAAGGTAGATTATAAAAAGCTTAATGTAGAACTTCACTGTCACAAGTGCTACAAATTGACAGCCTCCTCCTTAAACGCTACAAATTAAGTATGAGAATTCCACCAGAGCGCACTGAAGAGTTTCTAACTATTTCATAGTTCATAATATTGAATGGGGATGTACTGTAGTTAAACAGAATAATAAATGAAGAATCCAAAATGTTTTTTTAATTTGATAAACATACAGGAGAAGTTATAGTTAGGTAGCAGAGATCTCAGAAGATTCTGTTTCATCATGGTGACGACACACCTATGAACTTCTTTTTGAAGAAATAATCTTTAATTGATCTTTAAAGACAAAGTAGACCAGTTGTGTCTGACCCACTGGCAGCATGTGGCTCTGGACAGCCAGTAATGTGGCCCCACAAGATCATAAACTTTTAACATTGTTATGTGATTTATATAGATTAGCTATATTACTGTATATATTTTCTAGGCAGCTCAAGACAATTCCTCTTCAGTCAGTGTGGCCTATGCAATAGAACCTATGCAGTAGACCAACCAAAATAAATGTAAATTGACATTGTCCTGGGCTTTCTCAAGTTTAGAGATTGAAGAATTCCCCATAAGGATGTATTTGGTGCAAGCCTTAAAAGAAAACGCTGAATTTGATTTGAGAGCACAAACTCATCTCATTTCACAATGACAATCCACATGGAAGTCTGAGCTCTTGTGTTTTAAATTAAGGAAATCAACTCTCCAAAGTACCTGCATCCAGATTTCATTCAAACTCTAGGCATAAACATTTCATTGAACTTTAACCAGCATTACACCAAGTCAAATCCTAAACTTTTTCACTGTTATATGAGAAATAAATAAATCCCAGTAATACTGATTTTAAGTTTCCTGCTGTATTAATTCTGTATTTCAGTGTTAAGGCAGAAGGACAAGAAATAAATCCATTAAATCAGATTTGGGAAATTATTCTTCAGCTACAGATACACACACACACACACACACACACACAGAGAGAGAGAGAGAGAGAGAGAGAGAGAGAGAGAGAGAGAGAGAGAGAGAGAGAGAGAGAGAGAGGTAAAATAGAAGTAACATTATTGGAATGGGACTTTGATTTTATGAGTGGAGGGAGAATAGGCACATAAGTGTTTTCTGCACACCAGTTTACTTGTCCTCTGCTATGAATAGAGGAAAACTGTGTTTTAGTGGGTGGTCATGATTAGTAAGTTTTGACATGATTTCTGGGTTTGCAGGTTCCTTTTTCCTTGTGTTGAGCAATAAGGTACTGAACTGCTCTAGTGTACTTAAGCTTTAAGAAGTATGTGAACATAAGCCTATTGAATTGGACAGAGTACCCATTGCTTCTAAAATTTTACAAGGTTTGCCTCCATTTGAGGGCACTTGAGACATTTTGTAACATAATAAAGTAAAACGGAATTTAATTAGCTTCCAATAAAATCCTTACAAGACAGTCTGCAAAGGAAATAAAACTAAATTCACTTCACCAGTACAAAACTGAAATTATTGAAAAGTTCATTGAATGAGTCTGTCTCATCCTTCCCAGAAATATGATTAGTATGTTACCCTTGCAAGCAGCCTGTAGACATGTCCATTTCATCTAATCACAAGACTGTGTGGCTTTTGGACTAATTAATAGATTCCAGGGCAGCATTTTATCCTGACAGAACAACTTTTCTAAGCTAAATCTAACTATTTAGATTGCTGCAAAGATTGACAAGAAAGCTACATACAAGTGTTAAATATTGAAATCCCCAAAGGAAGTTATCTTAACATAGGCACTCTAGATATGTTGAACTACAAATATCACCACTACTGCAAACTAGTATAGGTACTTGTCAAGGATAATGGAAGATGTATGTAGCATTTATGAAGGGCATCATGTTCTGAAGCACAGTAGCCTAGAGGTGAAGATGCTTACCTCCCACTTGGAAAGTTGAAAGTTTAATCTTAAGCAGCAACAGATGTTTCTCTATCAGGGTGCAAAGAGCAAATATCTGCTGCAAATTCCACATAGGCGTCAGGAAGGGCATCTGGCCAGTAAACACCCAGCTCCATTCAGTTGCCCCAACTCCACCCCAAGTAAAGGGATTAAAGGGTCATATAAAAAAAATCATATTCTGAAGGGGAAAAAACAATGATAATTGATGATGACGATGAATATGACAGCCATTTTTCTTACAATCAGAAGATTGTGATCAATTAGATTGTTGTGTGCAATTTAACTATAATCAGAACCATGTTAATTATAGCAACGAGGGATCTGTCTCTCACTGTATTTAGTTTTTTATTGCTTTTCTTTCAATCTTCTGTGCTTTTTGTAGATACAAAACAGTATCCAGTGTTCGTGGGTCACAAACCGGGACACAACACTCCACAAAGGCACAGACTTGACATCCAGTTGCTCATGATAATGGACAGAACCCTCTACATTGCTGCTAGGTCAGTATTTTTCAATGGTCTTAGCATATATACAAGCAGAATTGTGGGGATTGGTTTCATTAATGTTTTCTTTGGGTGACAAAATTTGAATCAGGTTTTTTGTTTATTTCCTCCTCAAGCTGCTCACATGCTCTCAAGTGGTATAGTTTGCCTGTGTTCAGTTTCCCCAAATTGCTGGCCTAAGCTCTCTTCAACTGGTCAATAAGCGATTACAAAAATGGCAGATCAGTTGGTGTCTCACTCTTGGTTTTCCTCTCCTTTATTGCATTTGTTTTTCACAGGGAAAGCGGGATGACAGTCGGTTTCTTTATGAAGCAAGAAGATGCACGTTCTGGCCACTGGAATGCTGTTTGCTTCCTAAAAAACACTGCAAAAATGGCTTGGCTCAGTTTCCATAGCTGCTCCCAAGCCCCATGATTTATGACAATCTGCCCTAACCTGACATTTTCCAGATGGCTTAGATTACATCTTCCATCATCTTCAGCTGGGGATGGGATGGGAATTGCAGTTCAGCACATCTGGAGAACTTCAGGTGGGCTGACCAAAGTAGAAACAACTTATTATTTCTAGTACTGATTGGTAGAATCAAGATAACTAGTGAATGCTTCCTGGACTATATTGGAAGAATTTTTTTTTGAGAGTGGGGCCAGGTTGTTTAAAGTAGCTACAATAAGGCCATTGAAGGATTAATACATCATTTTCATTCCTTTGAATGGAAGGTTGCATTACAGTTATTTGGCAGATTGCTTCTATAGCATAGTCCAGGGGTCTTCAAACTCTTGGCCCTTTTATGACTTGTGGACTTCAACTCCCAGAATTCCTCAGGCAGGCACACTGGCTGAGGAATTCTGGGAGTTGAAGTCCACAAGTCATAAAAGAGCCAAGTTTGAGGACCCCTGGCATAGTCTTTCATGGGCTATGAAAAGGGGGCTGCAGGTTGCCCATCCCTATTTTAATCTGTATCTGAAGTGAACAGATTGGACTCTGGCTAGAAATCTTTTTAAAAATAGCAATAATTTTATAATAGCAGAAGCAGAAAACTTTTGGCCTTCCAGATGTTTTTAATGAAAGTTTTTACAGTTCCTTCACATTAGTGATGCTGGCTGAGATTGGTGGAAATTGAGGTTCAAAAAATCTGCAGACTACCAGGTTGCCTAATCCTGCATAAAAAGAATGTTCCCTCAGAATTGAAAAATAGGAACAATCGGCAGTTGTTCTATAGACTGAAAAATCAAGCTCTCTCCCACCAACTCATCCATTTGGTATGCTAGTCAGAATGCATTTATATGCCTTCATTTGTATTGCCTTAGTAAAATTCCTGATCAGAAGGCGCTAGCTGATAGCTTCAGCTGTTACCAACCCAATTTACATATTTATCTAGTATGTAAGAAGTTAAAAAGAGCCCCACTGGACCAATCTAGGCTAGTATTCTGTAGTGGACAATGGCCACTTATAGGAATTCAGGAAACTTAGCAACTTGAGCAAGAAGCAAGGCCCTCTGTTACTGTTGCTCCCTTGCAGCTGGTATGTACCATGTGGTGGAGCAGTAAATAGGCATAGTAGTTACTCATTCATCTGGAATATTGGCATCATTCTCCTATATTTATAAAAGCAACTAACTCCATGTTTTGGGAAATAAGCAACAATGTTGTACATTCCACAAAGTTATAAAATTAAATTGTAACGATGGTAGAAGTTTAACCATTTTTAAATATATATATATATAACAAAGAGAGAGCCAGACAGAAAAGAATGGGAAATATGTGTATTTTCATATTTGGCACATTTGAAGTTTATCTGTATTACGTTACGCAAATTATGAAAAAACTTTTTTTGTTTTATCTTCAAAATCTCATATACTGTATGGGGCTGCATCTTGGCCAGTCTCTAGCTAATAACTTTCGGAGATTTTAATAAATAAAAAAAACAAGTCACAAAGGAGTAAATCTTTTTCATTAATATGAAATAAAATATGGGCTGTGAAAAGGATGGATGTTTCCTAAAGCCAGTGGCCTATCTAGCATATTTGACATCCAGAGCAGACCTTTTTTTTTTTTTTAATATCCTCACCCCTTCAGTGCTAATAGCCAGTTTGGTATAGTAGTTAAGGCCTCAGATCAAAAACAGGAAGTTCACAGTTCTTGTTCCACTTTAGTCACACAGCTATTTGGATGATCTCGGATCATTCATTTCTCTTAATCCTAGGAAGAAGGACTTGGCAAACTATTTCTGAAAAATACTGCCAAGCACATTGCAGAGGGTGGTTGCCAGGATTCAAAACTACCTTGAAGGCACATTTTTTCTCCTTCGCTGCTGTGGTCACCACTGGACTACCAAATAACGGATGGTGCACAGGCACCAGCAATGTGATTCCCACCATTGGCCTCCTCAAATATTCAGCATCAGCAGCCCCTTTTGGTCTGCATCTGAGGCAGATATCACTACTACCACTTGATACGCCACTGCCTAAAGCACTACTAGAATTGTTTCAATGGAAACTAACTTAGCAGATCATTATTAACCCTCTACTTCAGGGGTGTCAAACTGCCGGCCCCCAGGCCAGACGCGTCATCCGGAAGCCGCACCCACCCCATTGCCGGCAATGGCAAAACCGTCCCGATATGTTGCGTGATGTCATGTGACGTCGCGAGTTTGACATTTCTGCTCTACTTTGACATCTCACATTTCCTGAATTGAGTCAAAATGTGTTCTATACTGTGCTAAACAAAATCCTCAAGAGCTTCTGTATAAGGACCTTTGTATGTGACTATATGAAGACAAGCAGTCATCACTTACATTAGCTGTAAGTGTGTACAGACTTTTTATCCATGGGAAACTAATATACAGTAGACATCTCACCATACATTTCATTACTCACTTAGGGTGATTTGAGCTTGCATGCAAATTGTTTGTCTCTAGTGATGTCTTCCTGTGACCTGTTATTATGGATAAGTAGGGAAATTATTTCAAAAGGATTTCTAGTAGCAACCTCTTCTAAAGCTGAATTTGAGCATGTGCTAATTTGTATTCTATTGTAGAAGAATTAACATGGTTTTCCATTTAAAAATTAGTTAGGCTTAGGCCAATTCAAAATAGTTACATGAAATGGCAATTGAAAATGGAATTATTAAAAAAAAATTATTCCAGAACAATATTATTCAAAACCAGAAGTATTAGAATAAATAAACTGCTAAAAGGTTGTCTCAATAACTTGAACATGTAAAGGTGTTAGTTAGTGGTTTGAAAGTTATCCTAAGTTCTTGCCACCTGCTGGACTTGGGCATCCTTCAGTAGAATAAATTTCTTTTAAAGAAACCTAAAGAGTATTTTCAACGATGATAAACCAATCATGCATCAAGTATTTAATTACACTGAAATTGCAAACATCATATGAAAAATCCTTATTGGACCATGTCTAAATTGTGTTTAGGCTAAGTGTATTTTTATAGAATTGGAAAGGTCCTTTTAGGTCAAAACTCCAACAGCTGCTCAGAGGACATCCTTGACAGATGGCTGTCTAACCCTTGCTTTTATGGCTAAGATTTTTTTTCTGGCATCACGTTTGAATTCTGCCTTATTGTGATTCCATGTCTTGCACACTAAAATGACAGAGAACAAATTTTGACCTTTTGTCTTACAGGAAAGGCAACTTTGGCCTAAGTAATCATTTCCTAAACCTCCTTTTCTATAAAAAGGTCCACTATTGATGACTGGAGGGCCCTATTCTTGCTTTTCTTTGCTATTACTACTGTTTCTGTTCTCTTTCTGAGTATAAGAACACTACTAGCTTTGGAGGAGCCTTCTTCTGCACATCGTCTCTTCTATTCCTCTAAGCCAGGTGTGTCAAAGTGCCGGCCCGTGGGCCGGATGCATCATGCCAAAACCACTCCCATCCCATTGCTGGCAATAGAAAAAAAAGTCACGATACATCATGACACGTCACATGACGTTGTGAGTTTGACACCCCTGCTCTAAGCACTTCTGAGGCTTGGGTCACTACAAGATTATCAAAATTATCACCTGGAAAGATTTCAGAGTGAAGGTTTTGGAATACTCGACATTCATCAGTAGAGAAACAACATTTTTCTGCACTGAAATTACACAAAAACATTTCCGTTCCAAAAATTATTCTTTTTAAAAATGAATAAGGATAAAATGGAGCAAAAGTCTCTTTCATCTTTAGGTAATAAACTTAAAAAGTGAATCAACTGTTGATAACTATTATGAATGAAAATTTATAGTTGCTTCTGCTTTAGCAATTTGGTGTAACTGTCACAGTGACAAATAGGAATTCCAATAAAAGGAGTTTAACAAGCAACTTAGTATATTGCATTTCTTTACCCAAAATAAACAATATATTTTAATATTACATAGTTATAGCATGAGAAGTTACCTCCATTCCAGGTTTATATGGCTATTTGGCTACTTGTTAGGTAGATTTCCATCATCCTGCCATTATTTAAAGGGGTAATGAATAGCCACATTTCTTCTTTTTCATCCTTAATTGTCTGTTCCACTTTTTTGTTTTAGCAGAAATTGTATTATGTGCTGTGCCTGGTGGTGTCAGAATTTCAGCTAATGCACAAGACCTAAGGGAAAGCCAAATTTTATGCTCCAGATTATTTGAATGTTCTGAAAATCTAATTTGTTCTCTGATAGCAAAAGGAGGTGTTTTAAAATAAGAATTTGTAGAGTAATAAATGTATACCCATTTACCCATTTGTTGGACCGGTAATTCAGATGCTTTCCTCTACTGTACTATTTCCATTTCAAGAAGTTCAGTCTCCTCTTGCTTGAAAGGATTAATGTATCTACATGAAAATGCAGGTTTTGTGCCTCCATGTGTATTTGAATTTTGTGTAGAACACAGCTGCCTGTGCGCTTCATAGGTATATTTTTCATAAAACCTAATGACAAAGACATCAAGTCCTGATTACAATGTGTTAAATTAAGAATTTGAACATTTCCTACTAGACCAAGGAAGAAATAATCTAACACAG